TTTTTTTTTTTTTTTTTTTTTTTTTTTTTTTTTTTTTTTTTAATACGAGAAATGGGCTCCTTCTGGGAAGTTATGGGGCTGGCAAACTTCTCTTTTCCCCGGGCTGGTGGGGAGGTTTGACTCTCTGGCCTTTGCCCTGCCTCTGGGTGTTGACCAGCAAGAAGGAAAGGAATCTAGGAGACTCAGGTGTGCTGGAAATTCTAGGGCTGTGAATTCTAAGCCCATTACCTTGTGTGAATTTGAGTAGCCCTCATCATTTCTTTCTTTCTTTCTTTATCTGTAGACAGAAAGATGCTAATACAGAGTTTTACCATAGACACTAATATTTGTAAAAATACTTGGCAGTCATAAAGGCCATAGGCAGTGATGGTTAGATGGTTGAACTCAGCACCTTTTCCTGTCTTCCTATATGTATGAAAAATAAAAACAGGAATCTCTGTCCTGTTGTCGCAGGTTTAAGGAGTTCCTGAGTAAGCACGTTCACCTGATGTGCTATCGCATCTGCGTACGAGCCCTGACGGCCATCATTACCTACCACGACAGGTGAGGGGGCTCGGGATGGGACAGAGGGGTGCGCTGGCATAACACGGGAGGCTGGCAGCCGGCCCGCGGGCCCTCGGAGAGTCGTTAGAGCCGAGGAAACTGCCGAGGCCAGGCGTGAGTTCCAGATGAATTGTTTCACACTGATTTTTGTTGCTTTGCCTACAATTTAAATGCAGGAAGAACCGGCCTCGAAATGGCGGCATCTGTGTGGCCAATCATACGTCTCCCATTGACGTCATCATTTTGGCCAGTGATGGCTATTACGCCATGGTAAGGCCTCTCTCTGTTGCTCCTTTAGGCTGGTCGGGGCTAGGAGCTCTTTCTTAAGGGTGTGAACAGGTAAGCACGTTTTTATACACGGGCCTGACCTAGGTTGTTGCCTTTGTTTCTGTGGCCTTGGGACCTGGATGTTGTGAGCAGAGTGAGCACCGTGGGGAGGGGTGAAGGTGGGGAGGGAGGATTTGAAGGCACTGGACTTGGGGGCTTTGGATAATCTGCCCAGGGAGGGCATTGGACACAGATGTGCTCCGCTTCACGGTTTGTTTTAGGGTTTTCAGCTGTGTTTTTATCAATAGTTACATATCTCTGGTATCACTGATTAGAAGGAGAATTTAAATTCAGAGAGTCTAATGGTGGTTTCTGAACGGTGAGAGCCTGTGGTTACTGATAAAGCGTTACGGGGTGAGAGGTTGGGGTCCGTGTCTCAGGGCACCTGGGGGCTTGCGTGAGGACGGCTTCGCTGCCCTTGCTCCTTTGTCTGTGAACAGGTGGGGCAGGTGCACGGCGGTCTCATGGGCGTCATCCAGAGAGCCATGGTCAAGGCCTGCCCCCACGTCTGGTTCGAGCGCTCGGAAGTGAAGGATCGCCACCTGGTGGCTAAAAGGTAAACAAGTGACACAGTCTGCGCTTAGGGGAAGCTGTGCCTCTACAGCCTTCTCCACTGAGCCCCAGCTGCTTTCATAGTAGTGTTTTTCTGAAACATCCAGTATAAAAAGTATCAAAACCCTAGTGTTATTACTAACCCAAGGTAGTAATGTTTGTAACCTTTTTTATTCCTTGTACCCATTGTAATGAACACCGTGAACTTTTAATGTGATTTGATTTTTTTTTTTTTTAATATTTATTTGGTTGTGCCGGGTCTTAGTTGTGGCTTGCCGGCTCCTTACTTGCAGCACAAGGGCTCCTTCGTTGCGGCAGGTGGGCTTCTTAGTTGCGGCTCGCCAGCTCCTTAGTTGTGACATGCAAACTCTTAGTTGCGGCATGCATGTGGGATCTAGGGAAATCTCAAAATGAATTCATTGTCACAAATGAAAACACACTTCAGGCAACAGAACAGAGTGCAGCTCTGATTTCAAGATAAAAAAGAAAAAAGGTAAACGTGGTGCAAGTGGTGGCAAGAGCTTTGCCGTAAATTGAGAGGAAGCAAGCCTCAGCCGAGACCCACTCCCCAGGGATGGTGGGTCGTCCCTGAATTCCCTGCGCTGCGTCTCAGGGGGGCTGTAGGTCCCACCCAACGTGGCTGTAGGAAGTCGGGGGTGAGCGTTTCTCGAGGCTGCTCTTTGCTGGACTCTGTGGAGGGTGAGCCATTTAGACAGTCCTAGGTCTGAGCCATGGCCCCTGTGCACAGACTCACATACTTCATTGAACAGCTGTGCACATTAAGTAGTAACCATCCGGTGTTTCCTGTCCTCGGGAGTTTTGTCTGTTAGCCCGTGGGTTTATAAAAGAGAGGGTCGTGTTTGTTAACCTGCTCTTATACCACGTCCAGCGTCACGTCTAGGTGGGGTATCGATAGACACCTTTGGCTGATGACGGGCGTGAGGCTGTCTGACTCTTCGTTTTATTTTCCTCTTGTAAAGGCTGACCGAGCACGTGCAGGATAAAAGCAAGCTGCCCATCCTCATCTTCCCGGAGGGTAAGCTTCTGTGTGGGGAGGCCATGCAGGAGGTTGATCCAGTGTTGTGTTGGAGCCTGGGCCCTCACCCTTGTTGGGGGGACCTGTCTTCACTGAGCAACGTGGGGGCCCTTTAGATTGGTCGTGGGACTGAAAACTCAGAGGATTCAGAATATGGACTAAGAGTGCTGCCGTGTGGCCTTCCCCGTTGCGGGAGCCCCTTCTCTAGTGTTGCTGACAGGCTCCTTGAGCTTCCTGCAGGGTCCTCCCTGGGCCCTGCCGAGTCGGCCGGGGCCTCTGGCCTCTCATCTGGGCTGCCGTGGGAACCAGGGAAGACGGTCCTGTAAGCAGAGAAGAGGAAGCAGCGCAGTAGTCTGTTCATCTGTTCTCAGTGTGCGCTCAGGAGCTGGGGAGGTGACAGGTTTATCCTCTTTGAAGAGCCATCAGAATGTTTTTATTATATATTTAATCCTTAAACTCCTAACCTCTGGGGTAAAGGACTGAAGGAAATAGCATTTTACTCTCTCCTGCGTTTTAGGAACCTGCATCAACAATACATCTGTGATGATGTTCAAAAAGGGAAGTTTTGAAATTGGAGCCACAGTTTACCCCGTTGCGATCAAGGTACGAGCCCTCTGAGGCCAGGTGATCACGGCCGCCGCTGTGACGCGCAGCAGGGAGCTGGGCCCCCTCTCCATGGAGCAGCCCACACTGCAGAGCCCTGAGCTTGGTGCATCTCCCCCACTGGTTCCTCTTTCTTGCTAAGCCCCGCCAGTGTGGAAGGCAGTCCACCTGAGGGGCTTCCTGTGGGAACGGGGCTGCCCAGCTGGGTCTGTGCCTTTGGTCGGTTAGAGGTAAGGGTGAGTAGGTGCAGATGTGTCCTTGCTGCTGGAGGAAGAGACAGCCCCGCTGCTGTGGCTCCCGTGACTTCTGACAGACCGAAGACCTCTCGTGAAAGTAAAGGGGGCTTAAACGAACCTGTTAGTCTGCCCCACCTTTTAGGAACTTGAACCTCTGAGAGTCCACACTTGCTTAGGAAGATGGGACGCACTCAGGCAGTTTCCCCTTTTCCTCCTCCTCTCTCTCCCCCCTCGTATCCATCTGATTTTATAAATAGATCCACGTAATTATTTCTAAAAGAATGCTGTTACATTACTTCCTCTAAAAAAAACACAGCCTTTGTCACTATGTTCATAGTATTTAGGTTGACGTCTCAGATCGGGGTAAGAGTGAGTCAGAGTTGCTGTTAGAATTTAGTCTCCATACTTTTGCGAGCGTCTTTTGTCTGCAAAGGCTTCTGAAGAAATATTCCTCATTGTCACCTGGCAGCACAACTGGGGCATTTGGGGGAGGAGGTGTTCTTCTCGGTTAAGCAAACGCTTTCCAGCCACGCTGCTTTCCCAGGTAGGCCGAGCACCAGGGCAGGGATGGTGAATGAAGAGTGGCTGCACAGTTACAGGTCCCTGGACCAGGGCTGCCCACGGGATTCGTTGAGGATGCTGGGTCTGGAGCAGCAGAAAACGTTCCGTTCGTAGTGTGTGCCGTGGGTGTGGGAACGGGGAGAGATGTTTGCACTGCGTGCGTGCGTCCCGCAGTTTAATGTCCTGGGAGCCCAGTGCCTCACCCCACGTGTTTATTAAAAACCGGCTGCTACACGGAAGCCCTTCCTGCTCACTCCAGAGCATCGGTTCTGTGCAGCTGCATCAGCATCACCTACCTGGTGGGGCTGTGAAAAGGCAGATCGCTGGGCCCCACGCCCGGAGTTTCTGAGCTTGGGTTTCTGACCTGTCCTGGGCGCTGCTGACACTGCTGGTCGGGGCCACACTGAGAGCCTGCTTGCTCTTTGCCACTTTTGGGACGTGGCCCTTGGACAGTCATGCCGGCTCCAGAACACGGCGTGTAAATTTTCCTTCCAGCCACAGGTTTATTAAAGCTCACGTGTGATTAAGAACTTCTGCTTCCCAGATACTTTTCTAGTTTTTGTGAAGATGTCATTGGTAACCAAACTTGCATGACCTTAGCAGGTTTTTTTTGTTTGTTTTTTTTTTTTTTTTTTTTTTTTTTTTTT